AGATTATTTATGCTGTGTACTTTGTAGACTAATGATCTTATTTTTGTATTCTGCGAGCTGATCAAAGTTCAAGAAAGTGGTTCGGTTTTCGTCGTTGTACAGCTTTCCTTCTCCGTCACTGAGTTATTCAAATCCTAAATTGTTTACATTTAGGTAGGTTACTTGGCTACTTCGTTCGCACAGGTAATCACTTTACAATAACGATCATTGAGAGTCTTAATGTTAACAGCAAGAAAAGAACCAAAACAATAGCGGTTTACCACGAAGCGAGGAAACAATAAAACCTTTGTATCTCGAGTAGTCACTCAAATCTCCAGTCGTTTCATTGGCCACAGCCATATGAAACGGAAACAATTTCGCATACGTTAATTCATCATTATTTTATATTTTGGTTGATGGCGGTATCCATCACGAATCTTCCTAGCAGGTCGTTATGACTGACAAGTAAAGACTGCGTGTAAATTTTCGAGGCAGGATTCGATATGGCTGGTCCAAAGTCTTCTCTGACTTTTTCCTCGCTCCAAAAATACACGCGGAAACGACAGCTGTATGCAAAAAACGGATTTTACATCGCGATTAACGCAACTGGCGAGGTGACAGGCACTAGCGACGAAAGCTGTTTAAACGGTGAGGAAAATTTATTCATAGTTGATAGAATTTTGTTGAACATGTATTACGCTGCTTTTAATGTTATTTTGGGAATCGAATATTGCTTCACAATATAATTTGAAGCCTGTATTTGCGAAATTCTGACAAGAAGCCAGGGTCCGCAATGAATCAATAATTACAAACTCTTCTGGTGAGGCTAAATATTCTAATATTACGAATGCAGTAAACACTGAACATTTGAAATATTATTGCGAGTTTACTTCTTTTGCCTACATAAATCAAAATTAATATTTCATTCTTTATGAATACCTTTCAATTTTCTTTTTAGAACGAAGGGGAATGTTCTTCGAATAACTTTTTAGCCCAAATGTTATTCTTGGTCTACACGAATAAAACACTTTTATTAATCTGCGGTTAGCGACATTTACAAGCTATAGGAAGGCAAATGAAAAGTGTACATCTTGCGTTGAAAATACCAAATTTTGCCAGCATAAAAATAACTGTATTTCAAAGAAAAAATGATTCATTCAGTATCTTTAATGTTTACGAGTTCAGCACGAAATGAATTTTCTACCGTAGTTTGCACCTAAAGATATTCGTTGTTTTGTTTTAATATTCAACAAGAAAGATACCGCTTTACGGCATATTCATTATGTTTCTGCTTTATTTTGACTCTATGTTTTCAAAGAATTAATACTGAATATTTTGGAATTATTTTTGATATAATTAAAGTGAGATTAAGATTTTGTTTGGACGCATATAAATGAGCGTTCTGTGTAATCTATTAATACTGTAAATGCAGTTATTTACATGGTAAAGAAATATCTGTTGAGTACGATACTCAGTTATAGATTTTCAACAAATTGAAAGAAAAAACAGATTTATGTTCAAGAAAAAAAGAAAAACTTCCAATGGCACAGGTTTGTGTAAACGTGTCTGCAATGACCGTGTCTAAAGCATCTTTTAACGGGAAAGAGTAATCCTGCATGAAAGCATAACTCAAAATGCAATCGACTTCAGCCCTTAAGTGACCTATGGTTGGCACCATAAAGATCCGTTCGGACAAGCAAAGTTAGTTTTCACTACCAGCCTAAGGATTGGTTTATAAAAGAACTACAGTGTAAATTTTAATCACTGATAAATTATTGCCTTTTTGTAACGCGGTAAAAAGTCAGCTGCCAATCCTAGTACTACTTCAGTCCGTATGTGATCGTTACCCGAGCGAGGAGTATGGCATACTCAAAGTTCACCCTAAAGGTACATGAAAGGCAAGAGAATCAGTAATAAATGAGGTTTAGCGAAAGATAAGGTAAATTATCAATGAACCATAAAATTGTTTACCTCTTTGAACCAAAGTACCTTTCTGTTCCATAACAAGCTATTTTTAGGAATGCGGTGTTTTAATGCGACCACTTTGTAGGAGCATATGGAATGATTTAGGAAAGGGCAATCCATTTTTAGGTCAACAATGTTAAAAATTTAGCTGTCCTGACGGAGTATCAGCGTGAACCCCGCTGCTGAGTAAGAATCTCCATCACAACACTCCTTCCCCCCTCCCCGAAAAAAAACAAAACAAAACAAAACAAAACAAAACAAAACAAAACAAAACAAAGCCCGTAATATCACAACTGTCTTCATCATTTGATACATATCGTATAAAATGTCTTTTCCCTTAGCGGTTTTGCAGTTTCTCTCTATTGGACCTGACCTCATCGCCATCTGGGGACTGAAGGCTAAAAAATATCTGGCAGTAGACAACAAAGGGAAAATCTTTGCTACGGTGAGTCAAGTCAAATAACTTTCGGCAGAGAAGCCGCTGACCGTTTGTTTTATCAAGCAGTTTTAATCTTGGATTGTTAGTGGTTTTCTGTTTTATTCGTTCATTCGTTGGCTTGTTTTGTTGTACTTTTATAAATTTATACTTTTTTTCTCAAATTTGCTTTTGAATTTATTCTTGTTTTGCTAAAGATGTTTCTGCAGTTTTGATTCATATCCCTCTTATGACACGAGGAGTCATGATCAGTAACAATGAAACTGGTGGGCTTAAAGCTGAGATTATCTGAGGCATCAGCCCGTTTTCTGGAGCAGAGGGCCAAATATTTTTTAATAATCCTGAATTAAAGTTATTTCATATAATCTTTTACTTTTACCTATGTTTCCTACTTTTTAAAATCTATAACCATCTATTGCATTTACTGATTCGTTGGAATCATTTCATGCAAATAAATTAATTTAAACAAACAGAATTTGGGAACAATGATTCGCTAAGTTAAAAAAAAAAGAAAAAAACAGCAAAAGGTGAAGAACAACTTAAAAAGCACCTAGGATAGTTACGGTTGGAAAAGATTTTAGAGGTGTTATTTTAAAAAAAACGATTGAGGACTCGCCACTTATTAGACACCCATAGCGCTTTCCTGAACTATTACATTTCTTTCTATTTACCTTCAGGAAGCTGAGAGAAAAGAATGCGTATTTCGAGAGTTCTTTGGAAAAAACTTTTACAATATTTTTCGCACGTGTCACTCAGACGCAGACGGTAAGGGTTGGTACCTATCCGTGGACGAGAATGGCAGAATAACCGCTGAGAAAGTTTCTTACAGTGATGAGCCGAGACTTCATTTTATCGTTAAAACACTCAAGGATCAAGAAGAGAGTGAAGTTAAGGAAAAAGATCCTGCTGACACGTTGAAAAGCCAAAATAGCAACAAGAGATGTGATAAGAAAACTGCTAAGGACTTTGGGCTTCCCTCCTCAGAAATCGTGTGGATCATGCAGCAACCTTACCATTTTGAGGGTAGCATGTCAAGCACGCCCAGTCCCCCAAGCTCTTCGTGTGTTTCTGGCAGTTCGGCTTCCACTGGAGAATGGACTGGATCGGGCGAATACTCCACCTCGGTATGATTAGTGGTGACGAGAAGTACAGCTCGTTTCATAATCGAGTAGGAGAAAATTTAACTGAGTGGTTAAATGACAGTGTGGCTGAGCTTTGAATGGGGGAATTGACCTCACGAAACACTAGTATTTCACTCAGAAAATGTTATGTACGAATGGGGCTTATTTTATATACCCTGGAACAGGGAAAACTTAGAACTGGACAGAAAAAATGTCATCTTATGATAACGTTGCACAGGAACCCCATGTAACTTTATTGAATTAGCTCCTTCGTTTTCAAACCCCCAGTTATTCTGATAATCATCAAAATGTTGAATGAAAGAAATTCCTTGCTAGTCTTAATATAAGAACTTGACTACGTCAAAAAAGTAAATTATTACTCCGTTTTCTTCCGTTATATCACTGAGTTATATTTCGAAAGTTTTATCGTTCTAATAAGGGCGGAGAAAGGTAATGACAAAACAGTTTTCCTTAACTAATATGGAGGATTGATTTCTTTGCTTAGATCGCTCAGTTTCTAACATACTTTAGTCTGCTAACAGAAGCTTGGAAGCAGAAACTTATCACCGGGCAATAATTAATGAATTGGTAGCCTGATAAATATTTATATAGTGTATTTAAGAATCTTTGAATTATTTGAACAGTCGACGGTATTCAGATATGTATATTTTTAGCTCTAAAATCAGAAGGAATGTTTTAATCCTTGTGACTCAGTTATATGAAAATATAATCATCGTGATTGACTTACAACTTAATGCGATGTCATATAAAACTGCTCTGGTATATCAAATAGAACTATCTTCTGCCCATACTAAGTACCCCAAGCAGCCACATTTCGCTGACCCGAACAATTAGTTCTTAGCAGAATTACGATATCTTGCATGCGTTTACCCGGCAATGGGTCCATAGTAGTATAACAGAGGACCTCTGAGATTACAGTCTCACTTATGGTGGATTATTTCGATTTAGTGAGCCAACGCTCTCTATACATTGTCATACGCTCTTGAGATCCAGATGATCAGCATGTATGGCATTTGCGGCGGCACTTTGTCCGAACCCACTTGCTTGTCTTGCAGCTTCCCTGCTTTGCCCAAATCTTGCACATCACATGACCATCAGAGCAAACTCGAGCTTTGTTCAAGAAATTCAGAGATACCAAATGATCAATAAGATAAAACAAGGAATAGCCCAGACCATTTCGGTTCATCTCTCAGGGTGTGTTTAATAGTGTGAAAAGTATTTTGAATAGCGAGGGTCTAAAGCAGGCTTACCCCGACTAAGATTTTGGATGAATCCACGGTGGCATTTGAAAATTCCTCTTTCCCAGTCTGCTGTTTACCAATCCAGACGAGGAATTGTTAAAAATATGTATCCTGATACGTAAGAAAAGGATAAGAAAATGGAACCGGAACTCTTACGTTGAAGCTGAACGACTTATACTTCTCAGAAAGTGCGTAAAAAAGACGACAGAGAAAAGTAATCATTAACTATATGCACATTCACAAAGAAAGCGATACACTAAGAAGCCAATTCTAAAGTGAAATTATACCTTTCTTTAGACTGCAATTCGTAGCAGAGCATCGTCGTAAAGAAAGAGGCTTTGCTCGCCCAGCGCAAGCTGTCTCATTCAGTGGCTTGTTGTCACTCTTGGAACAAAACACTCTTCTTATCTGATGACCATGCCCACAAGTCCTGGAGCATCTGCTCCACGAGCTCACCTTTAAAGTAGAAATGTTAGTCGAAAGTTCTTTCAAAATGCAACGGGCGGGAAGTATCTTTCCTATGGAATTTCGAATGACGAACGATTGGATTCGTATTCAAAACGCGATCAGTAGGTCCTTCGACTACAAGTTTAATGTTGCAACTAGCCAATTCTGTTCCTGAGTCAAGAAGTGGGGAGAAACACTCCACATTTATTTCCTGCTCTAGCCGTTTCCTTTGTGCTTTAAAACAGAATAGATCACAGTCAAGGCTTCGCTTTTTGATATATATATATATATATATATATATATATATATGAATACGTATTATATATCTTATGTTTTCTCATCAAAAAAAGACACTTGTTTGATAAGAGATCAAAAGGCATATATATTTCATATTTTTTTTTCAAATTGCGACGTTTTTGAAAAGGGGCGTATATTTTTCTTTATTTTTACTCACCCTCCAAACGGGTGCCACTGAAACATTGGTGTTTCTTCTTGGACAAGAATTAGTGTTGCACCTAATTTAATGAAAAGGAAAGGATGCACCTAAGCATAATCTCCATAACAAATTCTTGAAAATTATCTTGTAATAAAAATGACAAATTGGAGAGAAATCAACTTTCTGTATAATATACAGGCTTAGATCTCTATGATAATCAAAGAAGTTCGGGTCTAATAATTCCTTTCCACATCATTTAACACAAGCTCACCGAGCGAAACTTCTTTCCAAAATAAATGTGTCCAAGAACAATCAGAGTGATGCAATCATTCAATCAATAAAAATTTTCAACAGATTCGGTTATTATCAATCTTAATTTTTACAATAAAGATATAATTAAATTGTCATTTCCATACCTCTTTCTGGTGATTGGAGGCTCTTCTTTACACAGTTTCCAGGAGGTAGAAATCATATCCTTCCCAGCACAAATCTTCTTTCGCCGCTGAATTCCACCTCCACAGCTTTTGCTGCAATCTCCCCAATCCTCTAAGTGCCATTTGTATTGAGTGGGGCATGGGTTAACGCTGCAGTCTTCCCACGCTAAAGGCGGTGGATTGTCTACAAAGTATGGATATATTTTAAGACGCAATCTCTCTAAAAGCGGCTCGTCGCATTTCGGTTCCAAAGGATCGATTTCTTTCACATTTTGCTCATAGATCTGTCTCATTCTAAAAGTAATCGAAACAACCTTGCTTTTTCGAAATATTGCAAAATATTTTTTTCTGAGCGAAAATCCCCTCACTGCGCAAAGGTCGGTCCATTTTTAAGAGCGCTGATCATCAAAAATTGCACAAATTACCGTGATCGTTTTTTGGCAAAACTCTTGTTATAGGGAATTTTTTGCCTCGCATATTTAAATCGATCCTTAATGAGAATAAATCATATAAGCTTTTCTTTTATAAACGGTTTTTGCACTGAAAGTTATTTTTTCAGTTTGACACCCACCTCGCCATTGCTGCCATGACCGTAAATATTCAGCTTTTAATCCTGGTACATAGTCAGATATGATAAGAAATAGCCTTACCCTCGCAAAAAGATTCGTCCACCTCATTCTGTTCGTCCACTCCAAAACACAGAGTCTTTCTATTTCGTATCCCTCCACCGCAGGAGACAGAACAATCACCCCACTCTTCTGCACGCCACTGATAGTTTTCCTTCTTCTCTTTCTTTATCTCCACTTCGCTCCTTTTGTAATTTTTTAGTTCTGTATGACAAGAATGAGTGAATCATTAGTTATGCATAACAATTTTATTTTTGTTTGATATGTAGACAGCTGTCAAATTTACCTCTGTAGCATTATAGAGACTAAGAATTCGTTACCAAGTTTCCTTCATATTAGAGTAAACGTACTCATCCATGACAGGAGATAGAGGACGGTGGGTCAATTGTGGTCCACCATAAATATTTTGCCATCGGTATTTGGGGCTTAGGAAGGGAAACAAATATACGTAGCGGGAATAGACCATGAGAGCAAAGAGCGTAAGGAAAAAATGAAGAAGAAGAGTAAACCACGGCAGTGAGTGGAAGAAAGCTTCATCCGTTACCTCATCCGAGGGCTCATGAACGATAGTATCGTGCGTGTACTTTTTAATAAAAATAAGAAGGAAAGATAGCTTGGAGGGTTCCCTTTGTTTTGCCCATAAAAGATCTCCTATCGTGGCGTTCTCGATGATGGTGAATTTATGCTTTGTATCAAGCGAAAAAATCAGACAGCCTTTAATTCATAACGCACAATACTGGTGTGACATACCTTTCTTACAAATATAGCTGCGATCCATATCACATCGATCAGAGCCCCAGCCTTTTCGGTTTAGCATCAGGGTACAGTCCAATCCAAAGCGAGGCTCTCCTGGATTCCAAGCAGAGTAAACGACATCTGTATCATCAGGCCAGATGAAATTACCTCTACTAGGGCTGTACTTTGCACCTGTGCGTAGAAAACGAAATTAAATGAATAAATTTTATTTTTCACATAGACTTGTACGTGGTGGGCTGTTTTGAACAGATGATTTACAACAACTATCAAGCAATCATTTGTATTATTTTCTGTTAGTCTTCGTGTTTTGTTTTAACTAATCGTCTCATTTGCGCTTTATCAGTCTTCCGCTTCTATTTCTTGTGTTTGTCTGAGTTGCACAAATTTTTGGTTTTATTTTTTTTTGTCCTTCCTCTTTTTTCAGATCGTCATCGACCTCGCTTAAATATATTTAATAAATCCAGCAGATGCATCATTTCCATAAATAACTCTGTGGTCTAAACGTAATTGAAATCCTTCTATGACTATTTTTTTTTACCTAGCCAATAAAATATATTGTTAAGCTGCTTTTTCTCCAGTTCTGCTCTCAAAAAAGTTTCTTCCTCTGTACTTCTCAATGTTAGGATCCCTGCCCCTTGATCTAAACATTTATCATTTGCGTCCTGCAGACCTGTTCTGGCCAAGTTTATTTGATAACAGGCATTGTGATAAGAAATCCAGCCCTTTGGACAGGAATCTGTAGAAAAAGGGATAATCGACAAATCATGACAACCAAGTGAATTTGTGTGGATGAATACATAATACAACATAATAGCGTAAGGGTGTCTACTTGCCTAATGAATAGGTAACTAATGGTTGTTTGCCAGAGGGTCCATAACTGACTCACTGACTAACCGTGGGACCTACCCAGATGGTAAATTGCCTGGCCAGCCGATTCAAAATCATTTACTGCTGGCTAAAAACTACTTTCCTACTCTGTTCAAAAGTATTGGTGTCTCAGTTAATGGATAAATTCATCAAAAATTTTCCTCAACTCAATTTGTTTCCTATTAGTTATTTACTTAAGAGGCATGTAGTTCATAAGTTATTATAATCATTTAAGGATTTGCCTAAAAATTAGCAACAGCTGCATTTGAACTTGACCGAAAACCATCTTTCAATTTACCAATCCATCGATCAATCCATCAATCCCCCCACCCGATCTGCCCTCTCTGTCAACCAATCTGTTCAATCAAGCGTTCATCCATCCAGCCATCCATCATTCATCCATCCGTCCATACAACCATCCATTTACCCAATCATCCATTCATCCTCATTTTTTTACTCACCCACGCACTCGCCGTCTCACGCATACACGCATCCAGCCACTCAATGAATCATTCACTTCATTAGTCTTTCTTAATTCATTCATTTAATGAATATGTTACAAATGAGAAGTAAAATACGAAAGTTACCACACTGTTTTCCGTAACATCTGCGATATTTTGCCGGTAACTTCGTTTCACTGCAATATTCTGAGGATGTTCGATTCCGGTCACTCTTGGCACAATACACGTCTCTCGTCTGATTGCCGGAGCCACATGGAATAGAGCAGTCATCCCATTTTCCCGTGTGCCACATGTATGGATAATCTTTTGGAGTTACAGCATGAGATAAGAAATAACATGTGATAAGCATAAGAAACCAAACCTTTTAATACCAACACAAAAGTTGTTCTCGTTGTTACTCCTTTGCCCTACCATGCCACAAAGGAGCGTTTGAAAACTTAATTAGGACCCGTCCAATGATT